TGGCTGGACACATCTACCGTGTAGAGTTTCAACTGCCGTGTCTGAGTCAGTGCCTAGATTTGAGTGACTGGACACATCTACCGTGTAGTGTTTCAACTGCCGTGTCTGAGTCAGTGCCTAGATTTGAGTGACTGGACACATCTACCGTGTAGAGTTTCAACTGCTGTGTCTGAGTCAGTGCCTAGATTTGAGTGACTGGACACATCTACCGTGTACAGTTTCAACTGCCGTGTCTGAGTGATGCCTAGATTTGAGTGACTGGACACATCTACTGTGAAGAGTTTCAACTGCCGTGTCTGAGTCAGTGCCTAGATTTGAGTGACTGGACACATCTACCGTGTAGAGTTTCAACTGCCGTGTCTGAGTCAGTGCCTAGATTTGAGTGACTGGACACATCTACCATGTAGAGTTTCAACTGCCGTGTCTGAGTGATGCCTAGATCTGAGTGACTGGACACATATACCGTGTAGAGTTTCAACTGCCGTGTCTAACTGGACACATCTACCGTGTAGAGTTTCAACTGCCGTGTCTAACTGGACACATCTACCGTGTAGAGTTTCAACTGCCGTGTCTGAGTGATGCCTAGACCTGAATGACTGGATACATCTACCGTATACAGTTCAACTGCCGTGTCTGAGTGGCTGGACACATCTACCGTGTAGAGTTTCAACTGCCGTGTCTGAGTGGCTGGACACATCTACCGTGTAGAGTTTCAACTGCCGTGTCTGAGTCAGTGCCTAGATTTGAGTGACTGGACACATCTACCGTATACAGTTTCAACTGCCGTGTCTGAGTGATGCCTAGATCTGAGTGACTGGACACATCTACCGTGTAGAGTTTCAACTGCTGTGTCTGAGTGATGCCTAGACCTGAGTGACTGGATACATCTACCGTATACAGTTCAACTGCCGTGTCTGAGTGGCTGGACACATCTACCGTGTAGAGTTTCAACTGCCGTGTCTGAGTGGCTGGACACATCTACCGTGTAGAGTTTCAACTGCCGTGTCTGAAACAGTGCCTAGATTTGAGTGACTGGACACATCTGCCGTGTACAGTTTCAACTGCCGTGTCTGAGTCAGTGCCTAGATTTGAGTGGCTGGGCACATCTACCATGTAGAGTTTCAATTGCTGTGTCTGAGGGATGCATAGATCTGAGTGACTGGACACATCTACCGTGTACAGTTTCAACTGCCGTGTCTAAGTCGGTGCCTAGATTTGAGTGACTGGACACATCCACCGTGTACAGTTTCAACTGCCGTGTCTGAGTCAGTGCCTAGATTTGAGTGACTGGACACATTTCACGTGTACAGTTTCAACTGCCGTGTCTGAGTCAGTGCCTAGATTTGAGTGACTGGACACATTTCACGTGTACAGTTTCAACTGCCGTGTCAAAGTCAGTGCCTAGATTTGAGTGACTGGACACATCTCACGTGTAGTGTTTGAACTGTTCCTGCTGACCACCGCACTCATTTATCACGAATCTCCCAGCTATTGTGAATGTTTGACCAGATCATGTGATTGTCTCAAAGGGCGGTCAGATCATGTGATTGTCTCAAAGGGCGGTCTACTGGCCGGGTCGTATCGACACTAGCATGCAATCTAGAAAGTAGAAGTTCTTATGTTGAAGATTCTTCATCTGAAAACGTTGGTGCCGCACCGCGCGTGACTGCATATGTCGAACATGATCATGTCAGAGTCGTACATTAAGTATTGGCCAATGAACAAAAGAGCATGTGCCTGTCCCATGATACATCAGTTCTGTTTCTTACCGTTGAGAAAGTGGCCGATTTATCCAACATACGTTCAAAGAAGCTCAAAGAAGGGTGATTCCGTTTCTTTAATTTGAAGAATATCGACCAGTGGACCTTTCAGGCAACATGCAGGCAGCATCATTTTTATAAATGTTTATGGGAGACGACAGGGAAATCTGGCACCAATGGTTCGAAAAGGACAGAAGTTCGCGACAGACCTTCCAGTGCCGGGACAAGAACCGGCAGGTGAAACCAGCGCCGGGACAAGAACCGGCAGGTGAAACCAGCGCCGGGACAAGAACCGGCAGGTGAAACCAGTGCCGGGACAAGAACCTGATGCAGTACTGCATATAAGGTAGATCGATTCATCTACATTAGCACATATTACAAGCTAGATCAATTCATCTACAACTGCACATAAACTGCCTAGGGAATTATTTGTGTGGGAGCAGAAGTTAGAAGTTGTTGAGGTACACGAACGTGTCACTCAAATGACGTGACATATAAACTAGACGTTGTAGAATACCCAGACACGATAAGTAGGCTGGACGATGTAGCGTTGCCAGATATAACGAGTCACCTGGATGATGTAGCGTTGCCAGGCATAACGAGTAAACTAGATAATGTAGCGTTGCCAGGCATAACGAGTAAACTAGATAATGTAGCGTTGCCAGATACAACGAGTCACCTGGATGATGTAGCGTTGCCAGGCATAACGAGTAAACTAGATAATGTAGCGTTGCCAAATATAACAAGACAACTGGATGATGTAGCGTTTTCAGATATAACGAGACAACTGGATGATGTAGCGTTGCCAAATATAACAAGACAACTGGAGGATGTAGCGTTGTCAGATATAACGAGACAACTGGATGATGTAGCGTTGTCAGATATAACGAGACAACTGGATGATCCACCACACGGTGAGGAACTATGCACTTGTTCCGTGTATAGTGGAACATGGCATAACAAACCATACAACAGAAGCACACAACAAGTAAAGGCTTCAATAGGCTGCTGTCTGTACGCCATACTGGACTAGAAGACCGGAAGTTGTAGACTGTACAGCATATAATAGACACCGTACAGTACACAACGTGATACACAGACTAGGCACATCATGTGACATACAAACTTGATAAATCACGTGAGACATAAACATCACACAACACACTAACTACCCACATGACACATAAACTAGACACATAACATAACACACTGACTAGAGAAACAACGTGACACATAAGCTAGACACATCATAGAACACACTGATTAGATACACCACGTGACACATGAACTAGACACATTTGTGACTATAGTTGACAGTTTCCCGTCCCTAGTGTTGGCTTCATTACTGTGACGGACTCGTGTAAATATGTCGGTGTTAAAATCGTGATCGAGGGCACATTCCAGGATTGTTGTCAGAGCAAATTCCAAGATTGTTGTCAATGGCAAATTCCAGGACTGTTGTCGATGGCACATTCAAAGACTGTTGTAGATGTCACATTCCAGGATTGTTGTAGATGCCACATTCCATGATTGTTGTAGAGGGCACAATCCATGATTGTTGTGATGGCACATTTCAGAACTTTTCTCGAGGGCAAATTCCAGGATTGTTTTCGAGGGCACATTCCAGGATTGTTGTCAAGGGAACATTCCAGGATTGTTGTCAAGGGAACATTGTTGGATTGTGACGGGGGAAAATTGCAGAATTGTTGTCGAGGTGACATTGCAGAATTGTTGTCGAGGGCACATTCCAGGATTGTTGTCGGGGGTACATTCCATGATTGTTGTTGAAGGCACGTTGCAGGATTGTTGTCGAGGGTACATTGCAGGATTGTTGTCGAGGGTACATTGCAGGATTGTTGTCAAGAGGACATTGCAGGATTGTTGTCGAGGGTACATTCCAGGATTGTTGTCGAGGGTGCATTGCAGGATTGTTGTCAACAGGACATTGCAGGATTGTTGTCGAGGGTACATTGCAGGATTGTTGTCGAGGGTACATTGCAGGATTGTTGTCGAGGATACATTCCAGGATTGTTGTCGAGGGTACATTCCAGGATTGTTGTCGAGGGTACATTGCAGGATTGTTGTCGAGGGTACAGTCGAGGGTACATTGCAGGATTGTTGTCGAGGGTACATTGCAGGATTGTTGTCCAGGGTACATTGCAGGATTGTTGTCGAGGGTACATTGCAGGATTGTTGTCGAGGGTACATTGCAGGATTGTTGGCGAGGGCACAGTCGTGGGTACATTGCAGGATTGTTGGCGAGGGCACAGTCGAGGGTACATTGCAGGATTGTTGTCGAGGGCACAGTCGAGGGTACATTGCAGGATTGTTGTCGAGGGCACAGTCGAGGGCACATTGCAGGATTGTTGGCGAGGGCACAGTCGAGGGTACATTGCAGGATTGTTGGCGAGGGCACAGTCGAGGGTACATTGCAGGATTGTTGTCGAGGGCACAGTCGAGGGCACATTGCAGGATTGTTGGCGAGGGCACAGTCGAGGGCACATTGCAGGATTGTTGGCGAGGGCACAGTCGAGGGCACATTGCAGGATAGTTGTCGAGGGCACAGTCGAGGGCACATTGCAGGATTGTTGTCGGGGGGACATTCCAAGATGATTCTAGTTACTTGGTCTGAGATAAATACGGATGTTACTGGCTGCAGTGTTCCCCGTGATGTATGTGCACAGACGCAGCGCCACCTGTACTCACTATGTGCACAGACACGTGACACCAACTGTACCCAATATATGCAAAGACGTGGCATCAACTGTGCCAGTATGTGCACAAACGTGGCACATCTGTACCCAATATGTTCACAGACGTGGCACCAACTGTGTCCACCGTGTGCATAGACATGGCACCAACTGTACCCAATATGTGCACATGAGTGGGACCAACTGTACCTAATATGTGCACAGCTGTATCAAATTTGTACATAATAAAACTTTTGATTTGCTTTACGGGCGACTTGCTCTGAAAGTTACAGTTGGGATGTTTTCTTTCTTCTGTGTATCTTATTTCAGGCTATGTCATGTTATGTCAGGCTAAGTCGTGTTATGTCAGACTATGTCATGTTATGTCAGGCGATATCATGTTATGTCATGTTATGTCTGGTAATGTCAGGCTATGTTATGTGATGTCATGTTAAGTCATGTTATGTCAGGTTATGTCATGCTATGTTATGTTATGTCATGTTATGTCATGTTATGTCATATCATGTTATATCATATCATGTTATGTCAGGTTATGTCAGGCTATGTTATATCATGTTTAGTCAGGTTATGCCATGTTATGTCAGGTTATGTAAGGTTATGTCATGTTATGTCAGGTTGTGTCAGGTTGCGTCATGTTATGTCATGCTATGTTATGCTATGTTATGTTATATCATGCTATGTCATGTTATGTAAGGTAATGTCATGTTATGTCAGGCTATGTCATGTTATGTCAGGCTATGCCATGTTATGTCAGGTTATGTAAACTTTGTTATGTTATGTTATGCTATGTCATGCTATGTCAGGTTATGTCAGGCTATGTTATGTTATGCCAGGTTAGGTCAGGCCATGTCGTGTAATGTCATGTTACGTCATGTTATGTCATCATGATTGTTGTATAAGACAAAACTGTCCCCAAGTTATTTCGCTAGTTAGTCTACAGATTATCCGCATTGCACATCAAACCATTCAGTCCATAAGTGCGCAAGTCCCCTGCTCAATTAATCAGCGTACAGCGGTTCCAGTTCTCTGATGGTTTCTTATTCTTGTTTGTGACTTCCTGCTCTGAACTTCTTGTTCTTGCAGTCTGGTCACAGTTGCAGATCCACACTGACCCGGCTCTCGCAAACGTCTGACGTCTCCTAGAACATTCAGTATATCAGCATTATCCAGAGCTCACCCGCCGCCATCCACAGTGGCTTGACATGCCAGCTGTAATGTTGATGTTTTCCCACAGGGATTTCCTCAATGACGATACAGGAGTAAACACGAGATAAGAGTGAAATGAATGGGAATGGCAATACTCGTGGAAACACCAGATATACTATCAGTGCGCAAGCCAACACGTGAAGCCCAGGGAGAGGGTTAGAGAGTTAGACGAAGAGCTAATCGGTTAGTATGTGTTAGCTGGCGTGAAAGGTTTAGACGAAGAGCTAATCGGTTAGTATGTGTTAGCTGGCGTGAAAGGTTTAGACGAAGAGCTAATCGGTTAGTATGTGTTAGCTGGCGTGAAAGGTTTAGACGAAGAGCTAATCGGTTAGTATGTGTTAGCTGGCGTGAAAGGTTTAGACGAAGAGCTAATCGGTTAGTATGTGTTAGCTGGCGTGAAAGGTTTAGACGAAGAGCTAATCGGTTAGTATGTGTTAGCTGGCGTGAAAGGTTTAGACGAAGAGCTAATCGGTTAGTATGTGTTAGCTGGCGTGAAAGGTTTAGACGAAGAGCTAATCGGTTAGTATGTGTTAGCTGGCGTGAAAGGTTTAGACGAAGAGCTAATCGGTTAGTATGTGTTAGCTGGCGTGAAAGGTTTAGACGAAGAGCTAATCGGTTAGTATGTGTTAGCTGGCGTGAAAGGTGGTATCTGATAGATGAGTGTGTGTGACATTGTGTAACTGAAGACGTGAAGGAGATTCTATTCCACCAGAGGACAGCCAGACGACAACCTGACAACAGCCTAACCAAAAGTTGTAGCCGACAATACCCAACCAACCAGCCAGGGAGTCTAACAGCCATGATCAGAGACGCTGGATCAACCACAGTGTGTATCGCGTGTTTAATGAAACAGGACTGAAAGGTAAAGAGTGTGGATGGTGGTAGACTTCGATTCTATGCTTGATAAATGTCATCATCTCTTGTTGGAGCGTGCTAGCCAGTAGCAGACACTGACTGGACCAGATTAACTGTGAAAGTCGAATAAACGACACAAACGGAGATCTCGTCTACTCGTTACCAGCTGTGTGCATTCAGAATGTCATCCATGTCTCAGATATCAACAACAACTAGCACACCAAGGGGACATGATCCCACCAGCCTATCGGCTTGTTCCCTTCCTTGCACGCCCGCAGGCTCTGGTACAAATATGAACATCATCTCTGTCAACTGTGACTGTCCCAGAGACACCAACCACTCACTGTCTTCAGTCCCATCCTGCCAACCTCTCACTGTCTTCAGACCCATCCTGCCAACCTATCAATGTCTTCAGACCTATCCTGCCAACCATTCATTGTCTTCAGACCCATCCTGTCAACCATTCACTGTCTTCAGACCCACCCTGTCAACCATTCACTGTCTTCAGGCCCATCCTGCCAACCTCTCACTGTCTTCAGACCCATCCTGCCAACCACACACTGTCTTCAGACCCATCCTGCTAACCTCTCACTGTCTTCAGATCCATCCTGTCAACCACTCACTGTCTTCAGACCCATCCTGTCAACCACTCACTGTCTTCAGACCCATCCTGTCAACCATTCACTGTCTTCAGACACATCCTGTCAACCATTCACTGTCTTCAGACCCATCCTGTCAAGCAATCTCTGTATTCAAACCCATCCTGTCAACCTCTCACTGTTTCCAGACCCATCCTGTCAACCCCTTACTGTCTTTAGACCCATCATGTTAACCATTCACTGTCTTCAGACCCATCCTGTCAACCACTCACTATTTTCAGACTGTCTTTAGACCCATCCTGTCAACCACTTACTGTCTTTAGACCCATCCTGTCAACCACTCATTATCTCTAGACCCATCTTGTCAACCACTTACTGTCTTTAAACCCATCCTGTCAACCACTCACTGTCTCCAGACCCATCCTGCCAACCCGAAACCTAACCCCTCCTAAATACGGTTACCCGAAGTACAGCTCCCAGGTTTGTTTCGGGTGAATTAAAACTGAAGTACCCATGTTTATCTTCCTAATCATACTGAGTCACAGAAAAAGCAGGTGCGGGTGAAAGTCAGTGATAATGAGTTAATTACCATGTTGAGAGAGAGAGAGAGAGAGAGAGAGAGAGAGAGAGAGAGAGAGAGAGAGGCGTGCGTGCGTGAGCGTGGATCTGTATGTGCGTGTGTGTGTGCATGTTCTACCATCAAGATAAATAGTTAGTTAGTCGACAGAATATCCTCATTGCACGTGGAACCACTCAGTCCATAAGTGCTCGGATCCCCTCCTCAGTAAATCCTGCAGCGTGTAGCGGCTAACAACACCAGTTCTGGTTTGGTTTACTATTATTATTCTGTGACTACCCCGTAGTGTTCTTGTTTGGCGACACCCTGTTTAACATGTTGTTCTTGCAGTCTGACCATGGTTGCAGATTCACAGTTCCCAGTTGGTTCACGCAAACGTCTTAACTCTCTTAGAGCATTCAGTATATCAGCCTGGTCTATGGCTTGTCCGGCTTTCACAGTAGCCTTACCTGCAAGCGTATCAGCGTGCTCATTTCCTTGTACCCCCACATGTCCTGGCACGAAAATGAAACTAATCCTTGTCAGCCGTAAATTCTGTAGAGCCACCAACCACCGCCTTCGGACCCAGCTCTTCTCTATCTCACTGGGCTTCCTATGATCAGACAACTTGTAGTTATGGCAAAAGCTCCAGAATCTTCCTTCGCAATTCTCTCTTCAAACTGAGCCGTGAAAGCTCACAGAACCATCTCTGTAAATGACAGCATCACCCTCTAGAGCGTTCTCGAAAATCAAGGCTTGAATTTCTGCTTCAACAGCAGCCGGACTCTGTTGTCTGCATTTTCTGTCTAGTTGGACGTAAACAGAAAGAGATGTACAGCACTCTGAAGGCACTTGCACCCACTCCTCGCCAGTTCTAGGTCCTCAAGTGAACATACCTGTAAAATAATGTCCTCTGCTTGACCCATCCACGATTTGCCTTTTTTTTTTTTTTAAACTGCTGCCTTTTATCTTCTTGATTTGACTATGTAATGGATATTGTGTGTCCGCCTTTACTGTGAGGTAGGCACAAGCTCGGGAAATTTTGTATTCTGTCTTCCATGGTTGGAAAATCTAGAAAATAGTGCATAGCCCTGCATGCTGTATCTCTTGTACACCCAAGTATAATGCGCATTGCCTTGTTCTGTATCCTTTCCATCTGCATATGGCCATCGCGTATTCAAAAACAGAAAGGACCAGACCCTGGTATAAGAGACAGTGATTCTCACTGTGTAAACGTTGAATAAAAAAAAAAAAACAGGAGATAATGGCGATCCCTGTGGCAGGCGCAGGATGTATTATTGTTGGTTCAGAAGTCCAGCTGCCACATCTGAATACTACTTTTCGTTGGAAGACGGCGAAAGAGATCCAATAAAGCAGGAATGGACTTATCTGGAATTCAAGAAGCTGAGACATTAAGAAATCCAAAAGTACTCTGTAGTACGCATTCTTGAGATCAATTGCCACAGCACACGCTTCAATACCTGAGTGGAAGCCTTCATACATATGGCTGGGGTATCAGATAGCTGTGTGACCCCTCTTCACTGATACTAGCACTCGCAATACTATTGTTCTACATATCTGTTAGCTCTTTCAGCTCATCTTCAGTACACGAAAGGCGCACCGGACCGCCCAAGATGGAGACGGTTATTTTCCTACTTCTTTCACGATCGTAATTTTATCTAAAATAGCAAGATCATGTCGTTCGAGATTGGCATTTACAGATACACAGATGCAAACCAACTTATGCAACAGACATGTAATGCGGTGAGGTTCGAAAACGTAACTGATGTATTTTATTTATTGTGCGTTCGGTTTTTCATCTTGAAGCCAAAGTATAACTACAAATGTCGTTCTGACCACGGCTCGTGTGGCGTAGATGGCAAGCGTAGATGGCGTAGATCTCCTGTAATGTGGATGGTTCGATCCTTTTTGTCAGTACTATCTGGTAATCTGGTAATTTTAATTTCGGCTTCATAGCAAACGGGTCACCCCATCTTTTCTCCGCTCCTGTGCCAACGAAAAACACACAGAATGTTTATCACAGTCCCTTGTGGAAAGACTGACAAACTGCTGTCTCAGCAAATCTAGCATACACTCGCATTAAAAGCATATGGTAGCCATCCGAAGTGCTAACACAAACAGTCTGACGTTAGAAATGAAGTTAATCATTGATGGTAGCAGAAGTCACCAAAAGATCAGCTGCACACGCGATCAATTTTAATCAAATAATGGCCCCACCAATATTGCGACAACCGGCATCGCGCCATTGTCTGAATCTACAAATCACACCAGCACGTTGGTCAGTACTATGGTGTAGCATAGCGCACACAGGGCCAGAGAGATATACTAGATGGTAATGATACCTCATGTCTTACTGGCAACGTTTTTTCTACACAGATAGCATTGAACAAAATACTGGCTTTTACTTGGCTCAGATTCAAAGTGTCAGCACCAGGACCAGCTATCCTCAGAGATCTGTCACTGACCCTCACCCAGGGAACGACTGCAGTCAT